TCTATAGTCTAGTCTATAGTCTAGTCATAGGTCTAGTCTATAGTCTAGTCTATAGTCAGTCTATAGTCTAGTCTATCTAGTCATTGTCCTAGTCCTATGTCCTAGTCTATAGTCTAGTCTATAGTCTAGTCTATCGTCTAGTCTATAGTCTAGTCTATAGTCTAGTCGATAGTCTAGTCTATAGTCTTAGTCTATAGTCTAGTCTATAGTCTAGTCTATAGTCGAGTCTATATGTCTAGTCTATAGTCCTAGTCTATAGTCCTAGTCTATAGGTCCTAGTCGATAGTCTAGTCTAGAGTCTAGTCTATAGTCTAGTCTATAGTCTAGTCTATAGTCCTAGTCTATAGTCTAGTCTATAGTCTAGTCTATAGTCTAGTCTATAGTCTAGTCTATGTCTAGCTATCGTCCTAGTCTATAGTCTAGTCTATAGTCTAGTCTATAGTCTAGTCTATAGTCTAGTCTATAGTCTAGGTCTATAGTCTAGTCGAATAGTTCTAGGTCTAGTATAGTCTAGTCTATAGTCTAGTCTATAGTCTAGTCTATAGTCTAGTCTATAGTCTAGTCTATAGTCTAGTCTATAGTCTAGTCTATATAGTCTTAGTCTAGTCTAGTCTATAGTCTAGTCTATAGTCTAGTCTATAGTCTAGTCTATAGTCTAGTCTATAGTCTAGTCTATAGTCTAGTCTATAGTCTATTCTATACTCTAGTCTTTAGTCTAGTCTATAGTCTAGTCTATAGTCTAGTCTATAGTCTAGTCTATAGTCTAGTCTATAGTCTAGTCTTTAGTCTAGTCTATAGTCTAGTCTATAGTCTAGTCTATAGTCTAGTCTATAGTCTAGTCTATAGTCTAGTCTATTCTAGTCTAGTCTATAGTCTAGTCTATAGTCTAGTCTATAGTCTAGTCTATAGTCTAGTCTATAGTCTAGTCTATAGTCTAGTCTATAGTCTAGTCTATAGTCTAGTCTATAGTCTAGTCTATAGTCTAGTCTATAGTCAAGTCTTTAGTCTTGTCTTTAGTCTAGTCTATAGTCTAGTCTATAGTCTAGTCTATAGTCTAGTCTATAGTCTAGTCTAGTCTAGTCTATAGTCTAGTCTATAGTCTACTCTACAGTCTAGTCTATAGTCTAGTCTACAGTCTAGTCTTTCGAACAAAATATTAACTTGTTCTCTTTTATTGCTTAAGAGGATAAACATGTTTAAAGCTTGCGGAAAATAGGGAAGTTGGATTTGTCCACTTAACCTCAATTTACCAGGTAATTTTAACCCTTAAGAGAGCTAAATCTCCCAAGGTTGTTATGGTTATATTAAAACACATTTGAAATTGTTTAAATAAAGATTTTAAATAATAGTTTCATAAAAAGTTAATAAACCTATTAAAATTTAACCCTTACCAAACACACAGCCTTAAACCTAGTTTAACTCTATAATGAACTTTATAAAAAAGATAAACAAACTATCAAATTATTTCTTTAAATAAATGCTCATAAATAAACTTGAAACATAACATAAACCAAAATATTAAACTCTTAACGGTCAGACACATTTAAATAATTTAAAATGTTTCATAAATAAATAAAAAATAAACAAAAGTTTATTGACAATAGTTTAAAAATAAAAACAAAACTACCGTTCAACAGTTAAATTCACATGCGGGTGAGGTTAACTTGAATTGAACTGAACTGTAATGAGTGTTTATGTAGGTTTGTTTGATTTAATTTGTTTTACAAGGTTTAATATTTAACTATACAGTTTTGTATTTATTTAATATTATTTTTAAGTGTGTATGTGTGTGAGCATTTATTTGTTTTATTATTATTTTTATTTATTTTTTAAAAAAAAAAGGTGCATTAACATTTATTTAAATTTGCCTTGAATTGATTTTCAATCAAATGTGAGTGAGTTCATAACGAAAGTTTACAAAAAGTTCATTCACTTGACAGGCGAATGAATAAACAGAAATATTTTTTTGTATTTTTTTCTGTATATTGGGTAGAGACGCGCAATATCTAATAAAAATCTATGTGTCCAAAGTGTTGTTGTTCGCTTTATTATTTTATATATTTATTTTTGCATTTTTTTGTTGTTATTTTTGTTGATTTTTCGTATGACTGTGTGTAAGAATAAAAAAAAGTGTGTATGTCTGCTATTATAAACTTACCAAGACATATAGAAAATATTGTAAAGTTACAGCTAGTGTCAGCTAATTAGTAATAGATGTAGATATTTCTATGTTTTTTTGTTTGGAAATATTTCTAAAGAAATGCAAGTTGATAGCAATATCAAACTCGAAATCGAATAAAACTGTTATATAGAAAAATTTTGTGAAAAAACTTATCAGCAAGTTGTTATACTTAAAATGTATAGAACAACTTTTATCAGCTAAACTGCTATACGAATAATTTTCTTTAAAAAAAACTGTTATACAGAAAATATTTGGCAAAAAAAAAACTTTTATCTCTTGAGTTTTATAGAAACAAAACTTACATAAAGTTTTTTTTCAAATAAAACTGTTATACGTGAGATTTTAATTTTCTTTAGATTAAAAAAAACTGTTATACAAAAACGTTTGCTTATAGAATCATTTTTGTACACAAAATCTTTTATCTACTAATTTTCTTTAGAAAAAACTTTTATACAAAACATTTTCTTGAGAAAAAAAATAGTTATACAGAAAATTTTCTTAAAAAAAACTGTTATACAGAAAATTTGTTTTTGGAAAAAACAGTTTTGTAGAAATTTTTTTGAATAAACTAATATCTTAAGAAGAAAAAGTATTATACGAATACGTTTCTTTAGAAAAACTGTTATACAGAACATTTTTTACACCAAAAAAAGCTGTTATACATAATATTTTCTTTGAGATAAAATGTTTTACAGAAAATTTTTTGTAAAAGCAAATTTTCTTAAGAAAAAAACTGTTATACGAATAATTTTCTTTAAAAAAACTGTTATACGGAAAAATTTTTAAGCAAAAAAAACTGTTATACATAAAATTTTCTTTGAGATAAACTGTTTTACAGAATATTTATTGTAAAAGCAAATTTTCTTAAGAAGAAAACTGTTATACGAATACTTTTCTTTAGAAAAACTGTTATACGGAACATATTTTACACAAAAAAACTGTTATACATAAAATTTTATTTGGAATAAACTGTTTTACATAACACTGATTTTATAAGCAAATTTTCTTAAGAAGAAAACTGTTATACTAATACTTTTCTTTAGAAAAGCTGTTATACGGAACATTTTTTACACAGAAACTGTTATACAGAAAATTTTCTTTGGATTTACCTGTTTAATAGAAAATGTTTTGTATAATCTGATTTCTTAAGAAAAAAAGCTGTTATACTAATAAGTTTCTTAAGAAAAACTGTTATACGGAACATATTTTACACAAAAAAACTGTTATACATAAAATTTTCTTTGGGATAAACTATTTTACAGAAAAGTTTTTGTATAAGCTAATTTTTTTAAGAATAAAACTGTTATACTAATAAGTTTCTTTTCAAAAACTGTTATACGGAACATTTTTGACACAAAAAAAAACTGTTATACATACAATTTTCTTTGTGATAAACCATTTTACAGAAAATTATTGGTATAACCTAATTTTCTTAAGAAAAAACTGTAATACGTTTACCTTTCCGTAGAAAAACTGTTATACGGAACATTTTTTTACACAAAAACTTTTATCTACTCATTTTCTTTAGAAAAAAACAAACAAAAACATAAAATTTTTCTTATTAAAAGAAGAAAAACAAGCTGTTATGCGAGTACTTTTCTTTAGAAAAAAAACTGTTATACAGATAATTTTTAATGTCAAACCTTTGATATTTTTAATTTCTTTAGAACAGGCTTTAACACATAAAACTTTATGCATAAAAAAACTGTTATACCGGCAATTTTTTTTATAGAAAAACTGTTATACAAAAAAATTTCACTAGAAAAATGTTTATTACTTATTTTTTTTTTCTGAAAAAAAAAAACTGTTATACGAATACTTTTCCTTAGAAATTGGTGCCAAAACTTTAATATTTTTATTTTCTTTAGAACAAGCTTTTATACACAAAACTTTCTTCAGAAAAGAACTGTTATACAGACATTTTTCTTTATAGAATTATTAGAAAACATTTTATTACTTAATTTCCTTTATAAAAAACTCTTATACGAATGTTATTCTTTATAAAAAAAACTGTTATACAGATAATTTTTGATGTCAAACCTTTAATACATTTATTTTCTTTAGAAAAAGCTTTTACACATAAAATTTTCTCTAGGAAAAAACTGTTATACAACAAATTTTTAATAGAAAAACTTTTATCACCAAATTTCCTTTAAAGCAACTGTTATACGGATACTTTTCTTTAAAGAAAACGTTATATGGGAAATTTTTAACCCAAAAACTTTTTTCTGATAATTTTCGTAAAAAACTGTTATACATAAAATTTTCTTTAAAAATAACTGTTATACAGAAAATGTCCTACGTAAAAGAACTGTTATACAGAAAAATTTTAATTTAATTTATTGTACTTAGAGCTCAAAAACTTTTTAGATCTTTTTTTTTGATATTTTTATATAGATTTTTCCAACTTCTTTCGACTTTTGGACCTTTTCCGAGTTATTTCGATTTTTAATTATAAAAAATATTCTTCATTTTTTGCTACAAGAGTTTAGATCTTTATTTGAGCAATATAATCTAGTTCGAGTTAAGGCGATAGTTCGTAAATCGAACCCAATTTTCAATGATTTTCAAACAGAACTAAAAAGCCCGCATTAAATGTCAAAGGTTAGGAGTAAAGCAAAAAGTTTAAAACATAATTGACCTAGGGCTATTTAGCTAACAACAGCTGTATGCTGTAAATACATACATAAAAACTTTTAACAAATGTTTATAATAAAATACATACAAACACATTTATATGCATGTAAATATACAAAATGTATATTAAGTGTGGGGGGTTTTCTTATTATTGTTGTTGTTGTTATTATTTTTGTATATAATTCTTTTAAATATTGCATATTTTCTGTTGTATTTTAAAGAAAAAAAAAATCGAAATAAATTGAAAATACAACAACAAGAATAATAATAATTCATATAGAAAAGCAAAAAAAAAAGTGTGTAAAAGAAGGGAAGAATGATGGTGGGTTGGATGGAGGGATGGTTGGTTGGTTGGTTGGTTGAATGGTTGGTTGTACTTACTTGTGTGGCATCTGAATACGGGGTACTTGAGTTCAAATTAACACGTTCTGAACCGAAAACAACATTTGATTGTTGCTGCTGCTGCTGTTGTTGTTGTTGATGTTGCATTTGTAATTGCTGCTGTTGATGTTGTTGTTGTTGCTGTTGCAATTGTTGTTCCATTTTATTTAAAATTTGTGTGGATTTGTTGTTGTTATGTTGATATAAATTTTGATTGATTATATTTGTGTTGTTGTTATTGTTGTTATTATTATTATTGCTGTTGTTGTTAAAATTTTTATTAAAATTTATAAAATTTAAATTATTTTCAAAATTTATATTGATTTTATCATCGACATTAAGCGTTTTTATTAAATTAGAGGAGGTTTTTATTAAATTGCTATTGCTGCTGTTGTTACTGTTACTGTTGCTAATGCTATTCGTACTAACACTACTGTTATTAGTTGTGTTACTAATGTTGCTGGTACTGCTGCTATTGCTTGTATTACTACTGTTACTGTTGCTGTTAATATTAAATATATTGTGATGGTTGTTGCTGTTGGTGTTACAAGTTTTATTATTACTACTACTGCCGCTGTTGCTGCTGCTATTGCTGTTCTTGCTGTTTTTGTTGTATTTAGTTTTTGTTGTTTTTATTGTACATATGTTACCACCAGCTGTAAGTTGGTTATGAGTAATATTTGTCGCAGTCGCTGCTAAAGTTTTTTTCAATTTTTTTGCTGCTGTAGTAGTAGTTGTTGTTGTTTTTGCTTTTATTAAATTTTCTTTATATTGTATTATTTCTTGTTGTTGCTGTTGTTGTAGCAATACTCCTTCATATGTATAAGAATTTCGTATTAATTCTTCTTCGTCTTCGTTTGCCTCTTCTTCTGCTGCTGTTAATATTATATCTTTAACATTAACTATTTCTTGCTGTTGTTGTTGCTGCTGCTGTTCTCTTATATTGTATTTATTTTCAAATTCTTCTTGTTCGTGTTCTTCGTCTTCTTCTATAATTTCATTAAAATTTTCTTCGATTAACTCCTCGATTAAAGATTGTTCCAAATCCGTGATCATATAGGGATTTATGGTAATTTCAGCCGTTGTTGTTGATGTTGCTACGGCTGTCACTGCTGCTGCTGTTGTTGTTGTCGTTATTGTTGTTATTGGTATCTCCACTAAATCTTCTACGTCTTCTTTAAAATCATTTAAACCAAATGATTCACAAATCATGTTCAATTTAATTTCTTTAACAAGTTTTCTTTAAAAATTTTGAAAAAATTTTTGCTTTTCTTGTTGTTGTTGTTGTGTTAATGTTGGTTTTAAGTCTCGTAGTTCAAAATTCATAATCACTCATTCAAAGACGTTGACAACACGTTGTTAAAAACTGATTTCGTTATTTTAAAAATTTTGTGTTTTTGACGATTTAGCAAAATAGTCTAGTGAGTGTGTAAGAAAACACCAACAACTGTTTTTATTTAAAAAAAAAGTCTCCTTGGCAGTGTTGTAGAGTATTGAAACTAAACGTTTTGGTTGTTGTTGTTGCTGTGGTAGTTGTATGTAAAAAAGTATGAGTAATTCATAAAAAAGATTAGTCAGACCCAGAGGAGTTTTTTTTTCGTGTTGTATGCTTTTTTTTCCTGGTTTAATGCAGTTAATTTGTTTTTGTTGTTGTTTTTATTCAGCTGATATATGAGTTTTTAGTTGTTGTATGTATACATATATTTATTGTTTTTGTTGTTTTTTATATATATATTTTTATAGCTAGATACAAAATGAGGTAGTTTTTTTTATAAATTTCTGTTAGATTTGAAAATGATTTTTATATAAAATTTCAAATCTACTGGTTTTGTAGTTTTATTTATTAATTTCTGCTATTCCTCCTGTTTTGCTTATAATGTTTTTATGGTTGTTATATTATTTATATGGTTTTTGTTGTAGTTTTTGTTTCTTTCTAAGCTCCCAAACGTCAACTGCACTTCAAAGTGAACACAAAACGATTTCAAGGTGAATCTATGTTACTATTTTTGTATTTTTTTTTTGTATTTATTTATTTATAATATTTTTTTTCTCTACTCAAATACTTTACTAATATTGTTGTTGTTATTGTTGCTTTATGTACTACCTGTACATTTGCAGTTTATATATGTATGTATATATTACCAAGTATATAGAAAAAAATAACGTTCATATGTATATATTTTGTTATTTATTTTATTTGAATAGGAAACTATTTTTTTTTATTTCTTTACACACGATTTTTTGTTGTTGTTGTTTTTAATTTCAATACTTTTTTTTTATTTGTAATTTATATTAAAGTCTCACGTTCTGGTTTGTTATTAAATAAATTAAATTATTAAACTCAATAATCGTTTTTTATTTCTTCTTATGAAATTTTTTTGTTAAAAAAAAACTTAACGTTTTTTTTCTGGTTTCTGTAATGTCACTTTTATTATTATTATTTTTGTCATAAATTATTGTTTTTTTAAATAAATTTAAACACGTTTCTAAGTTGTAGTAGCCAATAATAAATGTTTTATAAGCGTTTTATAAATAGCCACCAAAGTTAATGTTAATTTTTCTTTAGTTTTTTTTTTACGAAAAAAAAAGAAAACTTTAAGCAGGAAGTCTTTTTCAGTTTTCTTTAAAATTAGTTTTTTTATAAAATTGCTGCCAATTTGTTCTTGATGTTTTAAGTTTTTCCTAAAAAAATTAAAAAAAAATTATTTTTTTTTTAACAAAAAAAAAAAAAAAAATATTTGCCCCTAGACTGGTTATAAATTAAAAAAACTAAATTTTAAAAATTTTTTTATAAATTTATGTTTTCTTAATAATTCATCAGAGGTTTATAAATCAATTTTATTTTTCTAAAAAAAAACTTTTATAAATTAACTTTCATGTAAAAGTCCCTAATTAGGTTTTATAATCCAATAAGAGACTTTTCAGTTAAAGTTTGTTTTCAAAATATTATTATTTTTTTTTTTAATTTATAACGGTCTTAAGGCAAATAACGGAAATGTATGTGAATTTTTAGTTATAAGTAAATAACCTTCAACTTAGCGTTATATAGTTTATAAAAATTTCCCAATCCATTTGTCAAGTTTAAAAAAATAATTTTCTTTTAAATAGAACTATATCTGCTCTAGTTTAAAATTCATAAAAACACTTTGGCCACGCCCATTTAATAGATGAAAACATATTTATGAAGTCTATTAGGCCCTCTATGTTGGTAAAATTGAAATTATATACAGAAATTTTCAATTTCGAAACTTTTGTATTAAAAGTATTGAATTACTTAACGGCTTTCAAGTCCGGAACTACGGGCCATTCCATTGACTAATTGAATAGAAAAGTTTATGCACTAATTTAAAGAACAGTATAGTCTGATTAGGCTTTGACTTAGCGTACTGACTAAATTTTGAACTAGTTTATGGATAAACCTATGGACTTTACTGTGCGCAAGTCTGTGGACATATCTGTGGACTAATGTGTGGACAAGTCTGTGGACTAGTTTATAGACTAATCAATTCGACTAGTTTTCTGACTAATCTTTGAACTAATTTATTAGTTTTGACTACTCTATCGACTAGTCTGTGGACTAGTTAACTAATCTATGGACAAGTAAGTTGACTGGTTTTTGGACTAGTAATAGAGTAATCTTTGGACTGTGGTCTAGTTTTTGGACTAGTCTATAGTCTAACCTTAGGACTAGTCTAATGACTAATCTTTGCACTTGTATGTGAAATAATCAGTTAACTAGTCTATGGATTACACCTCTGTCTAATCTATTGACCAGTGTTTAGACTAGTCTGTCAAGAAGTCTATTGACTAGTCCAATCTCTAATGTATGGACTACTCTTTTCACAAATGTGCAGAAAAGTCTATTGACTAATATATTGAATAATCAATTTACTAGTCCATTAACTATTCTATGGAGTTATCTATTGTCTATGGATTATTCCCTAACTAATCTATGGAATAGTAAAAGGTTTAGAGGATAATATAGAAAATATACTTAATATATCTTGAGGGTACTGAGCTCTTTTTCGATGTCCAAAAGTACTTCCGTACAAAAATTTCAACTCAAAAGCGATCCCTTTTCATATATGTATGTATTTTGTTACTATAACATGGCCAAAATCCCCCGATAACTTATTGGTTGAGTTTGACATTATTAGGAAATTTTATAAAGTTCTTATATAGATATTGTTATACAAATATTCTGAATAAGAATATAGTTTTAGTAATATCTAATTCAAAACTTTTATTTCCTTAATTTTGAAAAAACTCGGAAAGACTTAGTTAGTGAGGGTTAAGCAGATATTTAGGTTCTAACGATTTGCATGGTACAAATTTTTAGACTAAAGTTTCTTTTAATATTAATAATTTGTTGCAGTATTTGTGGTTCTAAATAGTGGACTAGGGTCCCAATACTACATATAGCCTACACGATATTTATAATGACTTTCCGATCGTATTTAAGATTTCAAAGAAAGGACCTAATTCCTGTGTTTAATAACTTTTTCTTTGAATTTTTCTTAATAATGTTATAGGGATGGTTTATTGTGGGAATTTTGTAAGGAAAATAAACTTACACTAAACCATTAATATCTTTATGAATTTAGGGGTTATGGGTTTTTTACACAATTTTAAACTTTTTTTATAACACTAAGTTGAAGGCTATAACTATTTTTGTCTAAATGTTTCAAACGAATTTTGTTCAAAACTCTTACTTGTTTTGGAAATAAATCAATATTGTTATAAAATTTATTTAAAGTTATAAAATTTTTAAAGTTTTTTTTCAACTTTGTTTAATTAAACAATTTTAACACTTTTTTTATTTAGTTTTTTACCAAATTGTTTTTTAAAAGTTTTAAAGTTTTTAATAAATTTAGCACGAAAAGTTTTTATTCAATTTTATTTTAAATACTTTTATAATTTAGTTTTATACCTTTTTATTGAAACAAATATTTCTTGCAGTGTATTTATTTGGTAATTGTTGTTTTTTTTTTCTTATAATGTTGTTGCTGTAGTAGTAGTAGTTTGTTGGCTTTTGTATGCTTTGTATATTACATATGATTACCAAATTATTTAATTTTATTTATTATTTAATTTGTTAATGTTTAAATTTGGTTTGTATCTTTTATATAAAACTTTTAAGTTTCTTCTTCTTCAACTAGTTTTTAGTTTTGTTTTCTTTTCTATTTTTTTTTTACTAGAATGTTGTTTTAAAATTAATTGCTGTTGCAGTAGTTGTTGTAGTTGTATAAATATAAAAAATATATATTTTTTTTTTGTATATAATTTGAGGTTTTTTGTTTACTTTTTGTTGTTGTTTTTTTATAAAAATATAAAATGTTTTTTTAAACTTTCTTTGAGGTAGTTTTGTTTCAGTAATGAAATTTAATAAAATTTCATTTCACTTTTGTAGTAACAATTGTTGTAAGTTTTTGTTATTGTTGTTGTTGTTGTATTTGTAGTTGGCAGCTGATAATTTTTTTTTATAAACATATACTAAAAACGTACATATGTATGTATATAGTATATACAATTGTTTTATATATAAGTTTTGAAAAAAAAGAAGAACTATTTATTTCTTGTAGTTTTTGTTATTGTTATTATAAATTATATAAAATTAATAATAATTTTTTCAAGCTTTGTAAATATTTTTGTTTATATTTATAATAATTTTTAATTAAAACGCAATTTCTTTTAAATAGTTTTTTTGTTTTGAAAACAGTTTCAGTTTTAAACACTTTTAAATTTTATAAAAAAATTTTCATAAATTTTTTCCTGCACTTTTTTTTGTAAAATAATCATCACATCACTTTGGAAAAAAACTGCATTTAGCTTTTTTTATAATATTTTTGTTGTTGTTGTTGTATTTACAAGTACAAGTCTGTAGTAAGTGTTTTTGCTCTTTAGTTATTTCATCAATGTATGGGTTAAGTTTTTTGTATATAAAACTTATGTTTTGTAGTTGTTGTTGTATTTTTTGTTATTTCACAGCTGTTTCTGTTTAACTAATATAATAAGTTCTTATGTATTTTTTCTTGTTCTTCAGTTTAAATTTATTTAATTAATTAATTATTATATTCATTTTTTCTTCACTTTTTTTCATTATTAAAAATATAAAAATATCTTAATTTATTTATACAATTCTTGTGGTTATTATTATTTAAATCTTTTTTTTATATATTATTAGTTAATAATTTATTTATTTATTATTAAATATTTGTTGTTAATCTTCACATATAATTTAACTTGAGGATATTTTAAACAGTTTTGTTTTGTTTTATTTTTGTTGGTTTATATTTTTTGTTTGTATCTTGACTGTTTCAAAACTAATAAAATAATGATCAGATGTGTTGGCAGTTGGCTGCAGTATACCAACCAAACAACCAGCAGAGTCAGTCGTCAGTTGTTGTAGTATAGAAGTATAAATTTTGTTTTTATTATTGCTGCTGCTTTTGCTTTTGCTGTTGTTTTTTTTTTTATTTTATTTTACACAGAGTAAAGCAGCAGCAAAAAATACTCTCAGCAAATCAGCAGAACACAGTAAAACGACAACAATAACAAATAATAATAAAAAAAAAATGAAGTACTACCAGCATTATTTTTGTCTTTGCTCATTTATATGTTGCTGAGTAAAGTTGTGTTTGTATTTCGTTTAAAAGTAATTTTTTAATTTTCTTATAGTTGTTAAATATTTTGGTGTGTAATGCAACAATAATGATTGTTGTTGTCGAACTAAACTATGAATTTGTATTTTTGCTTAGCTTGTAGTGGGCTTGTTTCCCCCAAAATAATAACAAAATAAATACAAACAAATAAATGAAAACTCATAAAAATCACAAAAATCAAAAAATAAAAACCAGCAAATCACAAAAACAACAAACACATTCAAAACAAAACACACTGTCTGTGTAAATAAACAAAACGAAAACTCTATAGTAGAGCTGAGAATAACAAAACACAAAAAAATTCAATTCACTCTTATTGTCAATATGTGTGCGTGTGTATGAAATTTATTTCGTTTTATTAAAGTGAACTCTCAGTTGTTTTTTTTTACACATATTTACGTCGCGACTGCATGCACAGATATATTAACACGTACATTTGTATCTGCTGTTCTCACTTGCAATTAGAATAAAAGATACGTACAAATAATATAGAATTATACACTCGATGACAATTATTTAAGGGCAAGTGATATTGACTATCTCTAGTCTATAATCTAGCCTAAAGTCTAGTCTAGTCTATAGTCTAGTTTATAGTCTAATCTATAGTGTAGTCTATAGTCTAGTATATAGTCTAGTATATAGTCTTGTCTATAGTCTTGTCTATAGTCTAGTCTATAGTCTAGTCTCTAGTCTAGTATATAGTCTAGTCTATAGTCTAGTCTATAGCCTATTCTATAGCCTATTCTATAGTCTAGTCTATAATCTAGTCTATAGTCTAGTCTATTGTCTAGTCTCTAGTCTAGTCTAGTCTTGTCTAGTCTATAGTCTAGTCCATGGTCCAGTCTATAGTCTAGTCTATAGTCTAGTCTATAGTCTAGTCTATAGTCTAGTCTATAGTCTAGTCTATAGTCTAGTCTATAGTCTAGTCTATAGTCTAGTCTATAGTCTAGTCTATAGTCTAGTCTATAGTCTAGTCTATAGTCTAGTCTATAGTCTAGTCTATAGTCTAGTCTATAGTCTAGTCTATAGTCTAGTCTATAGTCTAGTCTATAGTCTAGTCTATAGTCTAGTCTATAGTCTAGTCTATAGTCTAGTCTATAGTCTAGTCTATAGTCTAGTCTATAGTCTAGTCTATAGTCTAGTCTATAGTCTAGTCTATAGTCTAGTCTATAGTCTAGTCTATAGTCTAGTCTATAGTCTAGTCTATAGTCTAGTCTAAAGTCTAGTATATAGTCTAGTCTAAAGTCTAGTATATAGTCTAGTCTATAGTCTAGTCTATAGTCTAGTCTATAGTCTAGTCTATAGTCTAGTCTATAGTCTAGTCTATAGTCTAGTCTATAGTCTAGTCTATAGTCTAGTCTATAGTCTAGTCTATAGTCTAGTCTATAGTCTAGTCTATAGTCTAGTCTATAGTCTAGTCTATAGTCTAGTCTATAGTCTAGTCTATAGTCTAGTCTATAGTCTAGTCTATAGTCTAGTCTATAGTCTAGTCTATAGTCTAGTCTATAGTCTAGTCTATAGTCTAGTCTATAGTCTAGTCTATAGTCTAGTCTATAGTCTAGTCTATAGTCTAGTCTATAGTCTAGTCTATAGTTAGCTCTAGTCTAGTCTATAGTCTAGTCTATAGTCTAGGTCTATAGTCTAGTCTATAGTCTAGTCTATAGTTCTTAGTCTATAGTCTAGTCTATAGTCTAGTCTATAGTCTAGTCTATAGTCTAGTCTAGTCTATAGTCTAGTCTATAGTCTAGTCTATAGTCTAGTCTATAGTCTAGTCTATAGTCTAGTCTATAGTCTAGTCTATAGTCTAGTCTATAGTCTAGTCTATAGTCTAGTCTATAGTTAGTCTATAGTCTAGTCTATAGTTATAGTCTATAGTCTAGTCTATAGTCTAGTCTATAGTCTAGTCTATAGTCTAGTATATAGTCTAGTCTATAGTCTAGTCTATAGTCTAGTCTATAGTCTAGACTATAGACTAGACTATAGACTTGTCTAGTCTAGTCCATAGTCTACTCTATAGTCTAGTCTATAGTCTAGTTTATAGTCTAGTCTATAGTCTAGTCTATAGGTCTAGTCTATAGTCTAGCTATAGTCTAGTCTATAGTCTAGTCTATAGTCTAGTCTATAGTCTAGTCTATAGTCTAGTCTATAGTCTAGTATATAGTCTAGTATATAGTCTAGTCTATAGTCTAGTCTATAGTCTAGTCTATAGTTAGTCATAGTCTAGTCTATAGTCTAGTCTATAGACTAGTCATAGTCAGTCTATAGACCTAGACTATAGACTAGACTATAGACTGACTATAGACTAGACTATAGATAGACTATAGACTAGACTATAGACTAGACTATAGACTAGGACTATAGACTAGACTATAGACTAGACTATAGGACTAGACTATAGACTGACTATAGACTAGATATAGACTAGACTATAGGACTAGACTATAGACTAGACTATAGACTAGGACTATAGACTAGACTATAAGACTAGACTATAGACTAGATATAGACTAGACTATAGACTAGACTATAGACTAGGACTATAGACTAGACTATAGACTAGGACTATAAACTAGACTATAGACTAGACTATAGAGCTAGACTATAGACTAGGACTAGACTAGTCTATAGTCTAGTATATAGCTAGACTATAGACTAGACTATAGACTAGACTATAGGACTAGACTATTAGACTAGACATAGACTGCTATAGACTTAGGACTATAGACTAGACTATAGACTAGACTATAGACTAGACTATAGACTAGACTATAGACTAGACTATAGACTAGACTATAGACTAGACTATAGACTAGACTATGACTAGACTATAGACTAGACTATAGACTAGACTATAGACTAGACTATAGACTAGACTATAGACTAGACTATAGACTAGACTATAGACTAGACTAGACTAGACTAGACTAAGACTATAGACTAGACTATAGACTAGACTATAGACTAGACTATAGACTAGACTATAGACTAGACTATAGACTAGACTATAGACTAGACTATAGACTAAACTATAGACTAGACTATAGACTAGACTATAGACTAGACTATAGACTAGACTATAGACTAGACTATAGACTAGACTATAGACTAGACTATAGACTAGACTATAGACTAGACTATAGACTAGACTATAGACTAGACTATAGACTAGACTATAGACTAGACTATAGACTAGACTATAGACTAGACTATAGACTAGACTATAGACTAGACTATAGACTAGACTATAGACTAGACTATAGACTAGACTATAGACTAGACTATAGACTAGACTATAGACTAGACTATAGACTAGACTATAGACTAGACTATATACTAGACTATAGACTAGACTATATACTAGACTTAGACTAGACTATAGACTAGACTATAGACTAGACTATAGACTAGACTATAGACTAGACTATAGACTAGACTATAGACTAGACTATAGGACTAGGACTATAGACTAGACTATAGACTAGACTATAGACTAGACTATAGACTAGACTATAGACTAGACTATAGACTA